ATGTTGCACCGATGGAGGAGCCTGTGACCTAAGATTTGCATTGACATATCTACACTGTAGCTCAGTGGTTCCCAACCTGGGGGCGCGTCCCCCTTGGGGGGGCGCCAAAGATCGCAGGGGGGGCCTCAGATGATTTGAGGCCAAATATCATATTTAGACTTTTTTTTTTTCTTTTTTACATATAATTGTAAAGCAATACATGATTGACACTAAAAGCCTTGTCTCTACATTACAATAAAATATAAAAAATAATTGATTAATTAATTTGAAAAACAATTCAAGTTAGTAGCTATTAAAGGCATAAAAAGACAGAAATGTATAATTCTTTCTTTAATAGAAATGTTTCTTCTGCCCGTAAAGTGTCCAAACCAGGCTTTTCTGGATAAGCGCATTTTTAAAACATAGTCATTGTCCATGCCGGTTTCAGTATTATTTGTCCCAGTTGCTGCGATCAGATCGGTCTCCTCCATTTTGTAGATTATTTACGATTTTTGAATCCACATAAACACATCGACAAAATCCGGCTTACTTTGAGCATGTGTTTTAAACAGTTTAATCCCTTTGTGAATTGTTTTCACTTGCGCCGTCCTTTAATTTTTTCATTCAGCGGGAATCCAAATTAATTAATCCTGAATCCAATAACCATCAAAGTCACTCCAATAGTGCTCCTTAATTACGCTTTCATCCTTTTTTAACAAAATACTTCACATTCATCTAGTTTGTGACAGTAGTAGTAGCATTTTTGGGAACCACTGCTCTAGCCAATCAAACCGCTGCTTGTGTGTCAGGGGCGGGAGATTCATGTGATTGGTTGTTGGTCAAGTTTCAGACACGCCCGCCGGCAAGCTTCAACGCACGCCGCTGTGTGGACGGGCCGTTAGAGTTTTACTCGCTACAGGGTGTACTTTGAGGGCTTGTAACTTTAAAGACCGTTTACATGCAGAAAAACCTTCATAACACACAAGGGAACGGGTAATAACCAGAAAAGCATGACATGGGACCTTTAAGAAAAATGTATGCCTTGAGTCTAACTCAGTAGATTTTAAAGTACATCATATGAAACCCCTCTGTTACTGTACTTGCAGTGTTTCTTCATTGAACAGCTTGAGTGATTCTTCTTGGTCTCTGGCTGTTTGCATGTGCTTCCAAAGAGCCAGAGGATGGCAGTGTGCTGCCATGTGTGAATGTGCTCAGAGCACTCAGGCGGTGAATGCTTCTGACAACAGCAACATGGTCATTAATGCCTATGAGCAAACACCACATTATAGAGATAACAGATATATTTTAATCTGTTTCATCTTTGTTAGAATTCAGAGGAACCACTTTGAATAATGCACATCTTTATGAGCTGAGGGAAAAGTATTCTTTGGAAATAACCTTTTCCAAAATAATCTATAATGCTTTCGCAACAACTGTGCTGAAAACTGACTTTGGTCAAGTTAGTATTTATAAAAATCAATTTGTGTTGGTTTGAGTACCAGAGAGATCTGGGTTAATGAGGGCATTATAGATCACTTCCCTGTGAGGCTTTTTGAATATTTGTTCTGCATTGTGTGCAACAACCATCTAGTAGTTACCTCAAAAGTGAATGCTGTTTCACACAGGTTGTCTTTAACAAGCATCCTAAACAAGTTTTTCATATGGCCAGTGCTAAATTACAGAAAACAGCACTAACAATGGCCCTGAATATCTCCTTAAAATATGATTTGCAACTGTAGAGAAAACCTGTCTTTAAAATGATGCATAGTGTATTTTTATATTTATGAGCCATCAGGTTTCACATTATTTAATATAATACAGTCCAAGAAACAACACTAAGTTGTGGTTGAACCTAAAGGAACAGAATATGTATCCTCGAAAGGATTCATTATGCAGATCTGCGGCTGCTGAATTGAGATCAGAATACTTCCTCTTCTATCATTAACAGGGTCGGAAATAACCACCAGCTATATAGCAGCAGTAGGAGGTGGTGGTGGGTTTGTCCCCTCACTAGGCACTTGGGGGAAAACAAGCCATTGTTCAAAGCTCCAGTAGCATCTAAAGGACGCCATCACTGCTCGTTCTCTCTGGTTTTCCAGCACTCGTGGCTTAAAGATGCCAACATCCCTCATCCTAAAGCCATTACAGTTTTTGATTGTTTCTTGCAGTTAGTTTGCATCATAATGACTCCTAACAAACCTTTCTGTGTCAAATTTCGGAGGGAAATGTGCTGTCAACATTCTTGTTATGAACCTAATGCGGGTTGCGGGTAGTCTGTTTCCCCTAATCTCACAATCCTCTCCTGTCACTGCAACTCACAAAACCAATACAGTCTGTGTAGTACACTGCGAGGACTAATTCATTTTGAATTATCGTGAGGCATATGAAAACTCCTTGGCACCAGTATGAGGAGACAGGTTAAAAGAGGCAGCTGTGGTCCGGTCTTCTGTGTGAGGAATCTGCCTGTGTGTCCCCGATAAGAAGGACTGAGTGGTGAGGACACGTCAGCCTACTTCAGGTGTCAGCACTTCAAACCAGCAGCAGGGCTTCAGAGGGAATGTGTAAAACTCCATATTGCAGAGGTGAAGTGGAGGATATTCGGAGTTTGTTGATGTCTGGTGTCAACTTGTTCTCCACCTACAAAAAATAAGATAAATGAATCCCCAGAGTGGTGACTCAATGAATTTCTGCTCTTAAAAGCTTCCTGCCACTGTTTTCTTTATAAAGTGTTGCTCAGCAAAAGCATTCATGTCTTTTTTAATTGACAAGTCTCTTGTGGTGTATTACAGCAATTTACTGCATTGCAGTGTAAGGCCACTTGAGTTATTAAGAAAGATCAAAGAAATGATAGCATATAGCACCGACTACGGCTGTTCCATTTAAAGGGGGACGGAGCATCATAAGAGGGCTGATAAACCAACAGTGAAAATAAACAGTAATGACTGAGCTCTTAAACACAATATTCAAAAACTCCTTGCAATGCACTTGTTTTTAACTGGGATGAAACTATTTGAAATTATTTCCTGATCTCATAGACATTTTTATCTTTGGACGAATACATAATAAAGATGAGAATCGATAATGATGTGACTTGGTCAGTGACAACATAAATACCACTCGTTATGTGTTCGGTCAACGCAGTGGAATAATCCCGATTTTTATCATAAATTGGGATTACACAACACAAAATCTTGCTGTTTAGAAAATAGATTTTCAGTAAAAACAAAACACACCCCGAGACTGCACATAAAAAGCTGTTTCATGGAAATAAAGCATATTGAATCAAATTTACCAGATTCATCATGGTCTGACCCAGCAGTGGAGGGATTTAAGACTCATCAGACATTTTACGCAGCAGGGAAAAGAAGCCAGCGTTGAGAAGAGAAAAGGACAACATATCAGGCGTGTGACTGATATTGAATTCTGCTAAAGATGTAGAACAAATTCAATCCTGAATGTGCAAATGAAGGGTCTTTGCTGTTAAGTGAATGCCATATGCTTTAATTGTGTTAAGAATGGCTGCTGTTTATGAGTGTTGA